TTGGGATTTTTAGGAGCCACTTTTACTTTATAACTGCCGACTTGAAATATTTCAGTATAAGCGTAACAACATTTTGACCCGCGCACGTCAATTTGTGTCGGTTAGTACCGTTATGTGATAATTTTGTATAAAGTTAAGTTAAGAAAATTTAGGTCAAAATCATAAAATGCAAAGACATCCGATTTTTTTAGTTGCGTATATTATAGTTTTAATAATTTATATAGTTTTATATATTGACCCAGTCTACTGTGATAGGCCACGCCCACTTAAATTTCTGCTAGAAAATAAACTGCTATCTTTGTGACGTACCATACACGTACCTTCAACCTATGACGAGAACCACTGATAATGAATCTGACGTTGACATTTCATTTGTTGTTGAAGTACAAATGTGTACAAATAGTTTTGGTTTGTGAATAACATCTTATGCGCAGTTATTGGCTCTAGATTTTTTTAATTCTGTGAGCAATGAACATTTCAATTGGAAAGAAGATTTAGAGTACTATATGGAACCTTACGTATTTATTAAATTAATTGAAGTCACCTAGTAATCCAAAATTGTTTCTGATGTAAAATACAGTTGTATTATCGGTTGCTTATTTTGTGATTGATCTTATGATTATACAGATTCCAACGCAACTGAATTTCTCATTTTCTCTCAAATTTATTAGAAATATTTTAGTGTTATATGTGAAATATAACATGTTTTAAAGATCTGGAATGTCTGACAATACGGTAGTCAATTGGTCCGAAAAAGATGTAATAGAGTGGTTGAAATATAAAAAATTAGCTGATGAATTATTGCTATTATTTAGGAATCATCAAATAGATGGTAAAACTCTTTTATGTTTAAATGATTATGATTTTCGTAGTTCGCCTTTTAGTGATCTTAGGGTATCAACAAGGAAAAAGTTACAATTAAATGTTAAGTGTTTGCAACGTGAAAATCATGCCAGTTTAGTAGCTCTAGGTATAATTGAACCAAATTGCATTGGAGTCAATTCAATAGGATTAACTTATGATAGTCATCGTTTGTCTCATGAGGAAAGTGAATCCTACCCTGATAGTGAGAGAATATCACCGCCCGTTTCAATCGATGGCAGATCAACTGAGTTAAAGCCAGAAATATGGAAAGCTGGTCTAAGTATAGGTAATTTTGCATAAGTACCCTTCATTTAAACTCATTAATTTATGGTATTATTTATAGAAACCTTTATTAGAGCTTGATAAACATGTTAACTATAACATTTGATAAGGTACATAAATGGTGACCATTCTAACATAATTAGTTTGCATTTCCAGAATAGATTATCGACAAATAGTTTTTTATATGACATCCTATATTTATTGTAATTTGATATTTGATTTAAATCTGCAAATGTATTTTAGCATATGCCTTCTGGTGATGTGGCTAACATCGCTGGTGATGGTTCTGGTTCATGATAGAGTGCCAGACATGAAGATCTATCCTCCACTGCCTGATATAGTTTTAGATAACGTGCCACACATACCATTAGCATTTGCGCTATGTGAGTTGTTAGGTGCAATACTTGCAGTAATATGGCTCTTTGTGTTGCTTCTTCATAGACACAGGTAATTAATGAATACTTATACAATACAATACAAATTACTTTAAAATTAACACTAAATACATTAGTTATTAATAATATACATAACATAGATAACATAATCATTGCTATTCAAGCATTATAGTTTATGATATTTGTGAAAATTGAATTTCATTAAAATATTATATTGTAGGATGATACTCCTTAGAAGATTTTTTGCGCTTGCAGGAACAGTATTTTTATTACGTTGCGTAACAATGTTAATCACTTCTTTGAGTGTTCCTGGTACACACTTGAAATGTCAACCCAGAGACCCCAAAGAAAACACTGCATATGGGTATGTTAATAGAGATAAAAACTCTATGATTTAGCAAAATGTTGTACAGTAATGTGTAGTATGAAGTGAGCTTAAATGATAACTCACATATAGAATAATTGTGAGAAAATATATAAGGCACATTTATTAATTTAATAATGTAGTATTTCTGCATTCATACTTTATTCATTAACTTGTTTGAAAGTTTTTGTTAACAAAACCCAAGATAAACACAAAATTAAAATAAATACACATTTATATTATTTTTATTCTTTTATATTACTAAATTAGAAATTGAAAATATAATGAAGAGTTATTTATTATATCTAAATTATAATTGTAGGTTCTATGATGAACTCTTAGATAAAATGTCGAGAGCATTTGTGATTTGGCGTGGAGGTGGTCTTTCAATTCGTGGGGTTCGAACATGTGGTGACTACATGTTTAGTGGACATACAGTAGCACTTACACTACTCAATTTTTTTATTACTGAATGTGAGTATATTCTTCATTATTTACAAAATTGTAATTAACACCTAGTTGTGCCACTGTCTACAGTGCCATTGTCGATTGTTCTACTACCTAAATATAAACATGTAAGTATCTTATATAAACATCACACTAATAGAAGAAAATAATAAGGAATTGATTTTGCTTTTAAATATTAAAACTAAATATGAGTTCACATACTTTACTCTACAGGAGTTGTGTACACTATTTATTGAATGGCTTGCTGAATTTGTGAAAATATTGTAAATCTATTTTAGACATAGTGGCTTTCAATGAATTAGCTTGGTTTATTTTTTGTTTTTGTTTTTAGATATTTTATTTTTAAATTACAAAACTATTTTGCAATGTTATTGCATAACTATTCATTATATACTGTGTTGAATCTTACTTAAATCATGTTTGAACAGATACAAATTCAAACTATCTTCACATTGTGACTTGGATCATGAACCTGTTCGGAATATTTTTCATATTAGCCGCACATGAACACTACTCTATTGATGTCTTCATTGCTTTCTACATAACATCACGCTTGTTTCTTTACTATCATACATTGGCAAATAACCAGGCATTAATGCAGAGAGATTCAAACCGAACAAGGATTTGGTTTCCCCTTTTCAGCTATTTTGAAAGCTCAGTTGATGGAATAGTACCTAATGAATATACTAGTATATATGAAATGATAACTGATTTTTATTACTGGTATGTCGAGAAGCAATTTTTATGCATTGTGAATATCAAACGTATTTTTAGAACTATAATGATTCATTCTCAAACACCTACTGACAGAAGTGTAACTACTGAGGATGTAAATCAAATTAACGTTTCCACAAAAAAAACTCTTTGACTTTTTTAGTTGGATTTAGCGAAATATTATATAAAGTGATGGAGAGTGGTTGGATGAACTTATAAATTTAAGACTCATATTTTTATAATAGTTTAATTTATTTATCACTGTTAATTAAATAAATACATGTAGCCCATGTAATATATATATATATATATATATATATATATATATATAATAAAGTTTTGTATAAATATATTGAATTTATCTAATAGCATAAAAAGATTTTTCTAATTGTACTTAGTCATATTTTAAGTAATCTTGAATCTTTTCATACATTATTTTCCATTACCTTGTTGTCTGATGTAGCATGAAATATTGTCAAATAATATTTTGAATAAAATTAAAGAAATAGACTTCTATCTGCAAAGAAATTATACACGTAATCATAAATTTGCATTTAAATATTGATAACTATACTTAATTTCTATGCACTTTCTTTTCTTTCCATCCACTTTTGCTTTTGTAATATACATTTTCCATAATTTTTTAGTGTTATTATTTATTTGTTTAATACAAATATATGCTATGGATAAATATTATTTTTTGTATTTGCTCGTGTAAACTAGGATTTCAAGATTCTGTACTAAATTGGATTAAAATTGTTAATTTATTATGTTTAATTGTTTATAATGTAATGTTTTTTTTTTTAATTACATTTCCATATGTTATGCCCAATTATAGTATTTTGTTAAGTTCCTTTGTAAAGATCTAGTAGGGCTGCATCATGATTGATCTATTTGCTGATCAATTTATTCAGTTGACTTTTATTTTTCACTGTGAATTGGATTTCAAAATAAGATTATTTATTGTTTTAATATTTCATATCATTTTGTAATTAAAGTTGATTTATTTAATTCGCTTTAACTGATATTTAATTGTTTCATTTAAGTTCGAATAACTATATTCTGCAATGAATGTACATGCCAATTTATCAGCTGTGTTCGAAGTTACAAAATATAGTATATTATCATAATTCATTCTAATTTTTTTGCCAATTCAATAAGATAGAATTTAAATTATTAATCATAGTGCTATATTTAAATGTCTTGTTCATCATTTTAAATTTTAGAGATCAGAAAGCATCACTTTCTTCTTATTTCTTTGGAAAGAAAATAGTTTTCTGTGAAATGTTGCTTTTGATAAAGTTTTTTTTTGTCTTCAATTCCCACTAATTAAATGAAGCCATTGTTTTGAATAATCAAATAATGTTGTATTAAAAGTTATCACTTTTTTTATTTGCAACATGTAAAATCTTTGAAGTTTGTATAATACATAGTGTGTGGATATAATACTATTTTTTGCGATAAACTGATGTGTACCTTAAAAAAATATCCATAAATTTAACATATAATATGTGCCTATTATTGGAGAAAGATGTGCATATGCCGATGTTGTAACTATTTTATACATAGAATAAAAATTACTGGCTGTAATATAAATATATCTATAATGTATATATACATCATGCTTGTATAAAAGTTAAATGTAAGTATAAATAATCCGTTTTCTATTTACTGTCCGGTTACAATTTACTTTCGAATTTGAAAAAAAAAGTCGGATACTATTTAAAATCACTAAACTAAAAAAAAATCACTTGTACCACTTGTACTACCAGCTGTCAGTCAACGACGGTTTGACAATCTTCGTATGCAAAGATTGGTGTGCATGGATGTCAGTACATGTCAGTAGAACTGTAATATGTTAATGTCATTTAATGTGTTCTTTTTCTGTTTGTATATTAATAGAATATGGTTATAAAAGATATAAACAAAACATTCATTTTTGAAGACCATCTAAAGTTCATAGTATGTATATAGAGAGAAGTACATATTTTTGACAGTATTCATTCTACATAGATTAGTGTATATAAGATATGAGAAATAGACGCTAATATTCAAATGCACCCGCACTTTATATTTATCGAAATACGTACTAATGTATGCTTATGATTTTAGCGGCTTAGCGATATAAAACAACTTGCAACTGACAGCTGTTAGTGTTGGATGAGCTTGAATATATTAATTTGTAATCTACCATAGTGACAACTTTTATTGTGGTCATTCATGAAAGCAAGATCTAAAAATATTATACTCAACAAAATCCTAGCATTTAGTATGACAATCAAATATGGGTTTGGATTTTGATGTCATTGAATTTTGTAAAAAACTTCGTTTAGAAAGGCCTCCTCCTTATAAATGCCCTGTAGAAAATTGTGACAAAAGTTACAAATCAATATGTGGAATGCAATATCATCTTGTAAATTATGATCACGATAAACCAGCACCTCAAACTCCAGTCATGACGCTGAAAAAAAAGGGTTGGAAATCTTTATTTTAAATCAACTTGGATTTTTGATTTTATATTCAACTTAATATATGTTTTTAGGTCGTACTAGTAGACCTGCAACTAAAACATCGGATTTAACAAAAAGTCCTCCAAAAGAAGTTTTGTCTTACGCTGAATCTCAAAGATATGTACAATTTGAAATAGATGGTAATATAGCAAAAATTGCTTTGGATGATCCGATTATTAGCATTGAAAAGGATTCTGATTTATTGAAAGGTTTTTATAAATATTAATGTTTGGGTATGATTATTATTAAATATAAATAGTATTTCTTTTAATATGGGAGTGACATATTTATGATAGGTAAATGCAATGTAGTTGAAAATCCAGAACCAGTTTTCTCTCTTCCTGAACCCACATATCGTCTTGTAACTGATTATAATATCTGTGATGCTCCTCCGAGACCAAATGCTTACATTAGATTCATAGAAAAGTCAACTGAAGAACTTGATGGTGAGGTATGTGATATGCATTTTTAATATTGTGATCAGTTCAAAATAGAAAAATGAACAGTTTTATTAAGTAAAAAGTTTACAAAGATTATAAAATTATTTCAAATTTGTACAAAGTTGAGTATTTCATTTGAGATAAACTTCTCAAATCCTTAAAGACTAATACATAGTTTAAAAGGATAATGGTTATTCTAATCGACTGTTTAAATATATGTATACCAAAGAAAAAAAAATGTATATGGCAAGTATGTATCAGCATTAAAGTAATATCTTTGTAATTTCTTAATCAGAACTGGCATTTTAGGTTAGTGTTTTTTTTTATATTATATGTGGTTGAAATAAGATTAATTTGAATGATTATAATTATTATGGGTCTTTATTATAATAAACAAATGCTTAAATAATCAAATTTTATTAAATTGTTGTATGCTAGATTTTCACAATGTAGTTACATTTATAATATATGTGTAGAAAATAGTTATTTGTACTATAAACATGATTTAAAGATGAGTTGATGTTACTCGTAGGTGGAGTATGATGTAGATGAGGAGGATACAGCTTGGCTCTCTTTGATAAATGAAAAACGAGCAGCAAAAGGACAAAATTCTGTGTCTGTAGATGCTTTGGAACTTCTTATGGACCGTTTAGAAAAAGAATCTTATTTCCAGGTTAATATTTAATTTATTTGACAATTAATGTGGTGTCTTAAAATGTTACTTAATGTTTTAGGCGGCTGCCACAGGTCAAAACACTATACCTGTTGATGATGATGCAGTTTGTTGTATATGTATGGATGGTGAATGCCAGAATACAAATGTAATATTATTTTGTGACATGTGTAATTTAGCTGTTCATCAAGATTGCTATGGGGTATATTTTTATTGCTTTCAATAACATAAGTATATAATAATAGATATATATATATATATATATATATAATAAGAAATTATATGATAAATTCCTTTGCAACATTTTTAATTTTAAACAATGTGTATTTGTATCAAAATGTACATACATTTGATAGCTTAATACACGTAATACACATTTGGTTTACTTCTACTTGATAATAAGATATTTCTTAATGGAATAATTCATTTGTGATTAATCTCAAAACATTTATAATAGAACTCAGTGAAAAAAGTAAACTATGTTAGAATTTATTTTCTTGTTATTTTTTTTATTTTATTTTTTATTAGAATTTATATTCAAGACTTTCTTTACATTCAAATAATCTGTTCAGAAATCCAAAAGTCCATACAATTCATTCTTTACATTTCTTTTATGGATCAAAGTGGATAGCTGAATTAAGTAATATATTTTTTTTAATTAATAGTTCTGACACTTTGCAGATTTTGCTGTTTATTATATTTAGTTTTATTACTTAGGTGCCGTATATTCCAGAAGGACAGTGGTTGTGCAGAAGATGCTTGCAGTCGCCGAGTAGACCTGTCAACTGTGTATTATGTCCCAACACCGGGGGGGCATTCAAGCAAACAGATCGGGGTCATTGGGCGCATGTAGTTTGTGCTCTTTGGATACCAGAAGTTCGATTTGCAAATACAGTATTTCTTGAACCTATAGGTAAATTGCTTTCTACATTCTTAAGATTGATATGGTTTTTAAATTTTTATAAACGCATTTGATTTTATAGAAGCATTTTATTAATACCTCAATTATATTGAATTCATTATAGCAACATTGGAATTTGATTCAACTTATCAAACAAGATTTTGTATTCAAAATATTTGTTGACGTATAAAAATAAATGTTGCATCTTTTTTTACCTTAATATTAATAGATAATTTTATAGTTATGAAAAATTTAATTCTATTTTTAATATTATATATAATGTATTTTATATATAAAATGTTGTATTGTATTATCCAGATTCGATTGAGAGTATTCCAGCAGCTCGGTGGAAGTTGAGCTGTTATGTGTGTAAGCAACGTGGTGTTGGAGCCTGTATTCAATGTAATAGAAACAATTGCTACGCAGCATTTCATGTCACCTGTGCTCAACATGCAGGTCTTTATATGCGAATGGATCAGGTCAAGTAAGTTATTAATATATATTATAGTAAATATTATTCATATTATTGCAGTAATATTAATTCATTATAAATAATTGATATTATTAATAAAACAAAATTTCAGTCTATTGACAAAGTTTTACTATACTACTTATGTTACTCATTAACCTTAACCTAATTTACATTTTAAACGCCTTTATTCAAAACATAATGAAGTCTTTGAACTATTTCATAATTCAGCTATGTTATACTATACACAGTTTACATATTATCAATGCTGTGTATGTATAAGATACCAAATTGGTAGCATAAATCACAATAGCATCAATTTGTATTCTCTGAATGGGCAAATATTTGGCATTTTTCATATATTTAAGCTTTACAGGAAACAAGAAATTAAGTTGTTAACAACACATTTTATATATTGTATGTAATGTTCTTCTCTTTCAATCCTTTATGTTGTTTATTAATATTTTATTTCAGCCGGGAAGGCGATAGTATGCCAGTGCTAGTACAAAAAACTGCATTTTGTGATGCACATGCTCCTCCGGGTGCTGTTAATGAGGTTGTTGATAGAAGTCAAAAGTCTCGAGAAGAATCTCGTAACAAAATGAAACAGGTTAGCTCGGCATGTGAAATTTGTCTATTATAAGGTGCTTATTTGGTATTATTATAGTAGTTACAGAATTTATTTTGATTATGATTCAAGCTTTCTGAAGAAAATTTTTGAATTCTGAAGAAGTTGAATAATTTTTTAGGGCCTGATTTTATTTTGTTGATTACATAGCATGTTTATTGCATATAGATTTATTCAAGTAGCATGAGAATAATGATCATTATTCTGATATTAGATATATTTTCCTTAGGGAAAATGCACTAATCTTTGTTTAAATATTTTTAGGCAAGGCGGCTACTGGCTAAGAAAAGAACTACTGTTCCAGTGATTTTAATTCCTACTATACCTCCGGAAAGAGTACAAGAAATTGCAAGTCTGGTAACTATTCAAAAGAAACCACAATTTATTCAAAGGCTTATAGCATACTGGACACTTAAGAGACACCACAGAAATGGAGTGAGTTTAAATATAATTTCATACTGTTGTCATATTAATATTGTCATTTTAATAAGTTATTAACTTCTCCAAGTAGGAGTTTGTTTTTACGAACAAATTCTATTTGCTAATTTTACATTTTCTTGATGTTTCAAGTCGTTCTGAAATGATTGAGACTCAATTTGGAAAAGATATGCGTGTTTGTGTGTGTATGTGAGCTGATTTTTGACCTTTGATTTCTCAAAAATGACTGGACCGATTTCAAAAATTTATGCCATTCAATGTAACTCAATAAGGTTTATCAGTTTTGTGCAGTGATTAGTCAAGACATTTCTTTGTAATTAGCAGGACATTTTTTGACAGATTTTAGCCCACAATCTTCAATCGAATTCATAAACTCAAAAACCATTTCAAAGACATTAGTTAGGAGTCACTTCGATTACTTTTTGGTGAAGATCGGCTGGGCTGTTTTGTTGTAATCAAAGTTTAAATCTTTTTGACGGTTTTGATAGAACTGTGTATAACGATAGATTTCATAGAAATTCTGATGCAATATACTAAGATAATGTAGTCCCACGATAAGCGGTTGAATTACAGAAATTCCTCAAAGAATTTCGTCGGGCTTAATAAATTTTTGTTAATTTTAGAATATTTTAAAAAATATAATCATATTCTTTCAAAAGTAAACAAATTATGCTCATAAACAAATCACACAAAAATAAAAAAAATCTACCTAGTACACCCATTAATTATCTTCATGAATATGCTTCATTAGACAGCATTACATGCAAAATGATCATTTAAGTGACATCTCCGTTTATTTTTTTCCTTTTCCGAATATTATAAATTCTACGAGTGGCGTATTGTACCGAGAGCGACACAGAAGCGTTTCTATGTGTCCGTCCGCATGTCTATTTGTCTCGAGGCAATTAAGCGATTCTAATCGGAATGTATACCTATTATGCATATATATGCGCCGCGTGTTTTGTAGGTACTGACTGATTACAGTTGACCTCTGCACAGTTTATGTATTAAAATTATTTTATTGTGAAATGTTTATTTTTTTACAAGCATTTTTGTTTTATTTAATGAAATACTAATCAATTATTGTTTTTAATATTAATATTCTCTTATTAGGTACCTTTACTAAGGAGGCTACAAAGTCAAGGCAGTGGAAATATGAGAAATATGGGTGATGAAGCTCCTGATACTGCAGAATTATGTCGTCAACTGAAGTATTGGCAATGCCTCAGACAAGACTTAGAAAGAGCTAGGTAAAAAACTTGCAATAATCTTATCATATTGCACAATAATGTTTTCAATATATGAAAGGCTACTTTTCTGTCCCAAAATTATGACTAGTTTGGAAAACGTTTACAGATTCTAATCAAATATTTTATTGGATGTACTATATCTTTGCATGCATAATAAGTTCTCTGAATTCATTCTTTATATCCATAACTTATTCAGGATTCAGTAAAGTTTCTTTTTTCTTAAATTGCTGTTATTTAATTTATTCATTCATTATAGGCTGCTGTGTGAATTAGTGAGAAAAAGGGAGAAATTAAAGTCAGCATTAACAAGAGTTAAAGAAAGATCTTTGCTTATTGAGATTGATCCATTGAATGCATCAATGGGAATTTTACTTCAACAATTAGAAGCCAAGGACACGAGCAGTATTTTCTGTGAACCAGTTGATCCTACAGAAGTAAATTAATTTTCACAACAATTTTTAATGCTTGCATGCTTTTCACTACATATCATGAAACTAACCTTTGATGTATTTATATGGATTTGTGTGATTTATTGTTTTGTTTGCTATATTTTGTATGCATGATTCTTTTTCAGACCTGGATTTACCAGAAAATAGAAAGAATGGACTACAATTCAATATGAAATGTAACGTAAAGTCACGCTTACTATTCAAAATTATAAAATGTATTGATTTATGTAGTCTATTTATACATATGTAGTATTTTTAAGCAATATACTTAATATTAAGTTTTTCGTGAATTATAGATGCACTACTTTGGATGTGGCATTGAATCAAATATTATTAAACATTGGTGTGGGCTGTGCTCGCTTTTTATAAATGAATATTGTTGGAGGTAAAATTCTACTTCCAGAATCTTAGGCTTGTGAAATGAGAGTTGTGATTTTTTTGCTTATTATATATGGCTGTTACCAACATATATTTCTTCTCCAACTGTGTCATTGCAACGCTTAATAGCTTGCAATTAAGTAATGTTTTAAATATCATGCTTTCTATTAGTTTTGCATCAGCTTTTTAACTTTGGTTGTTTGAGATATGTTTATAATAAAAAAATAACTCCAATGCTTGAAACTCAAATATGGTGGCAACTGTCAGTTGTAAAGTTATTAAAAGCATTATTTTTAAGATGCAGGTTTAGAAACCTGATTTACCTAGTCTGATTTATTAGATGTTTATATTTTTTAAATTTAAGTAGAATATCTAAAGTCAATACTCACAAACAGAGAGTGAGGAATGTGATATGTCTAAAAACAGTTCTTAAAATAGAAATCAAATAGTAAGAACTGAATAATAAACAGACTACTATTGAAAGGCTCTCTTAGAGGAGTTATTTTTATGAATTTTGTTTATCTATTTTTATTGCATCAAGCTTTGTCATAATTAAAAATGTTTTTTGATTTATTATTGGTTTATTAATCTTTAAATCGTAATACTTTTCCTATGTATTTCATCTTTTTTAGTTATATACTAATACTACATCTTGCTCCTATGTCTGGTAATTGAAATATTATTATTTTGTACATGTATTATTGTAAGTATGATTCAAACATACAGCACAATTTTGATTGTATTATTTCTAGACCGTGCTGTTAAATGTTGATTTTGATTTCAATTTTTGTGCGACTCTGGTATGCAGGAAACAAAGATAGGTGAAAGGTATTGTTTGAGTATGTTTAACATATGTAACTATATTAGTTCTAAATAATGAAATTAAAATTTTGGTAATATAGTTGCAATTTTAATTTCATCTCATCATAAATAAGAAGCGAAACAAATATTATTTTCATTCCTGAGAAGATAATGGAAATTTAGTTTTTTAAGCATGTTTGACATCAATATTTTACTATGCTTTCAACATTTCTGCATGTAAGTATCTCCTTTTTATATTTACTCAAAATTCTTACTTTATGCTGTGGCATTACATAATTTTGTGAAATCATTTAATACAAAAATATAAATTATGCTTGAATAACTTGAAATATGAAAATAATGGAATTGTTTTATAATTAGGTTCCAGACTACTCAACTGTTGTCACATGCCCAATGGATTTAAGTACTATGAGGATGAAATTGGAAAATGGACAATACCAAAATTTGGATGATTT